GTCAGCACCGCGAAGGAGTACCTCGCGCGGTCCGAAGCTCTTCTGAGAGCGCAGAAACTCCAGTCGAAAATACTGGAGGTGGCGGGAACCGCGATGGTGAAGTTAGAAAAGATCACCAAGCGTGAGGATCCCTCAAAACTCTGCGCCGTGGGGGAGAGAATCGGGCGGCCGGGGAAGGCGCCGACGGGGAAGAGGTGTCTGACGATGGTCAGGATGCCCCCGGGGGTGCGGGATCGAGCAGTTCCGCCAGGCCTTCAAGAGGCGGGACCGTCCGGTCCGCCCCGGCCCCAGAGGTGCCTCGCCCCAATGCTGACGGCCACTATGGATGCTCAGCTCCTGGATGCGGGCTGGCCTTTGAGTCGCTGGTGCAATACCACTTGCATCAGGCGGCCTGCCATGGCGCCTCTCTTCCGCCCAACCTGGGGATCAGCCCCTCCGCACCTCTTGACCCTTTTCGTCAAGACTGGCGGGGACGGTTGTTCCGCCGAGGAAAGGACGGTGGGTATGGGGAGGTGCCCATGCTCCGAGTGATTCGGTACCACAAAGCCAACGGGTACGATCACTCGAAGGTCCCGCTCCTGAAGAGAGGGGACCGAATCCAGCTTGAGGACGGATCGCACCACATTTATGGTGGTAGTCATCCACCGGGGTGGCTTCGCGATGACCCCGAGCTGGATCCCGCTCCAGAGAGTAGCGGTGGAGGGTCCACGCCCAAGAGCGAGCCCACGGAGGAGGCCGAGCCGGGACCTCCGCGGGAGGCCGCTCCGCGGGGGCGGGCCCTCGAGCCGCCGACGAGCGACGTTCAGCAACGCCTTGCAGAGCATCGTTCCAAGCGGGATTACTCGCCAGACCTGGTGACGCCTCTTGACGATCTCCATGCCCAGGAGATCGATTCCTTCTTCGCGGGCGACCCAGCCGCGGATAGCCTTGACGTCATTTTGATGCGCGCCGAGGTTCGCACTGAGTCCCACCTCAACGTTGGCCGGGAGCAAAAAGAGCCCCTGGTCAAGGAGGAACAGGAGGAGGAAGCTGAGGTTGTCAAGGACGAGGAGGTCTCGGTTGAGATGGAGGCAGGCACCGCGGATGAGGCGGACGATGTCGCCCTCCCAGCCAACCGAGCCTACGTCGAAGGCCGCTTTTACCCCTACGGCAGCTGGCGGTGCTTCTTCTGCGAAGCCATCAACCCGGTTACCGAGGACCAGTGCCTCACCACGCACGCGGGCGGCCCGAATGCGGGTGCCCCGTGCGACGGCCGATGGATCAACGGGATCGACATCGGGTGGTGGGAGGTAGACCCTCAAACCGCGCCAGAGCAATGGAGGCGGAGGTTTTCTGCCGAAGAGCTTGAAGAACAACAAGCGCGGGCGGATGCCGCGAGGCTTCTCAGCGATGAGGAACTCGCTGAAGCCCTCCAGGCGGCCGAGGAGGCGCAGGCGGCCGAGCGCGCCAAGAAGCGAGAGCGGCGCCAGGCGGAGAAGGCGGAGCGCGATGATCACATCAGCGAGGCGCTCCGCATAGCAGGGTGGCAGTGCCCTAACTGCTATGAATGGAATCTTTCATTCAGGCAGCTGTGCTTGCGCTGCAGCACCCCTCTCCGTTTGGCAGAGGTCGTCTCTCGCGGGATCCCTGATCCGCGGCGTGGCGAAGAGAGGGACTCGGGCTCCGAAAGCAGCCAGGACGAGCTGGAGTACGAGATCCTTCTGGCGCCAACCGTGCGATGGACCAAGAAACCATCCAACCTCTTCTTAGAAACAAACACAAGAAGAGGGGCGGCAAGCGACGTCGCGAAGAGGCGACGTACGGCAAGGGCCGCGACCCTTGGAGTGCTTGGGCAGACGCCCGTGGCAAGGGCCAGGGCAAGCCGAAGGGCAGAGGCAAGTCCGATGCCAAGGGCAAGCCCAAGGGGAGGGGCAGGTACGCCTGGGGCGCTTACGCCGCGGGCATTGTTGCCGCGCTCCAACCCCGCCCAAGCACAAGCTGGGTCCCAGCCTTCCCGCGCGGGTCGGCCCGGCCGCCGCCAATTGTTCCGCTTCCGCCGCGGACCCCCTTTTTCCTGGGTCGCGGGCTCCTCAATCGGTTGATGCACGCCCTCAACGGGAACATCAACGGCTGGTGGGGCCTGGCGGCTGCAGCGTCGGCGCCGATTGCTTTGCAGTTGCACCGCGGGGCTGTGCATGTTGTCGAGGACTCCACGCACGCGGTTGCAACAATTTCGGCCGACGTTGTCGAGGAAATCGGTCATGGGGCCAGGCGGACCGTGTGGGTCGCCGGAACAGCCATCACTCTGGTAGTAGTGATCTTGTGCAGCGCTGTTCTGTGGTACGTGAGTCGTGCCGTTGCCAATCGCATTGCGCATCTGCGACATGGCAACACCGCGGCCCCTGAGGCGCGGCTGTCTCAACTCCTTGGCTCTGAAGCGACGTTTGAGGTCGCGAGCACTAAGAAAGGGGTGACCCATAAAGTTTGGGTGCACCTCAAGGAGGAGACAGCTGCCTGTGGCTGTCGTGCTTACCTAGCAGAGGGACGTTGCGGGCATTGCGATGCCGCAATGGACACCGCTCGATCCCTAGGGTTTTTGCACGCGGCCCAGCGAGGCGCGGGTCCTGCGCTCACAGACTCCATTCGGAGTACCGCCTCCGAAGCCCTAGCTAAGGGTAAGGTTGTGTTGGGTTTGGGGAACAGTGAAGGATGTTTCTCCCAACTTGCGGCCAAGAGCCGCGGGCTCTCCTGCTTTCAGGGGCTCGCGGGTCGTGACCTGGCCGCGGCCCCAGCAGATGGAGCGAGCGCAGCCCACGCACAGTCCGCTTCGTGCAACGTGCCGCCACTGCCACTGTGGCGCGCACACCCAGCCGGAGGAACAAGGGCCCAGTCCCCGCTAGGAGTTCTCCAGTCAAAGAAGCGGAATTCCTTGCGGGCGGGCCATACGTTCAGGCCGCCCAAACGCTGCTTGGGTCTGGAGCAGCAGAGGATGTGATCTACATCCGGGCGTACAGCTTAGATTGCCCATCCTGCATCGAGGCAATCGAAGCGTCGCTTAGCAAGGGCGCAGGCGTTCGGATTGTCGCCGACATGGGACAATGCCACCGCACCAAACTGCAGTGGCAAGCGTTGAAACGCTTGGCGGCTGCAGGCGCCGAGGTGAAGGTGGGTTGCGGCTCATCCGTGCGCGACGCCTATGCTCGCGACGGCCGCGGGGCTAAAGTAGGTACCGGTATCCAAGGGCTTCACCATGCCAAGGCCCTTTGCCTACTGCGGCCTGATGGCGCGGTGGTGCTGATTGGGAGCCTCAATTTTACCACAAGCAGCAAAGCCAATGCGGAGGCAGGGCTTAGGCTTGAGGTCGCCAAGACGCACCCGGTCGCGCAGTCCTATATCGAGGATTTCCAGAGGGTGTCGGCTGAGGCATTCTCCCTCGATGAGGCGGTCGCAAAGCGCCCTCAGTTGGAGCGAGCCAGTAGCTCCAACGTTGCTGGCAACGCCACTCGTGCCCCCAACACTGCTCCACAGGGTATCGAGTAGGTTGCGGCCAGTCGGCGCGGCGTGGTATGCATCCACGCATTATCAGAGCAGGCGTTGCAGCACGGCACGTTGCTTCGCCAACCTTTTGCATTTTCTTTTGCTTGACTGCGGGCGAAAAGCCGCGGCAGGTTGGAAACCTGCCCATTTTGCATTCCCCGCACCTTTCTCCTCCGCCCTGCCTGTGGCCCCTCGTGCTGAGGGTGCTCTTTTGCAGGTGCTGCGGACCGTGTCCTGGTCGCGGCAATGCGCTCGCCGAAGCGCGTGTGAGCTGCATTGCCTGCGGCACAAGCCATGTGCGCGGCTCTCGCTGAGTCTGGTAGCCCGTAGGGTAGTTCCGGATAGGTGAGTAGCCGTAGCCGTAGCTTAGGACCGGCCGTGTACAGTGTACCATCTGTACCATAGATTTCAGTGTCTGCCGTAGCAGTCCTCAAGGCACTCAGTGGGCTCTGTGTACTGGAGCCTCGACTCAGGTCGTGCAAAAGACCGGTCCGCCTGGTTTAGGCTGTTTGGAGGGTCGCTCATTTGGGTCGTCTCGTTTCGCGTGTCTTCGTTTGCGGGCTTGCGCCCAAAGCCGCGACGGACGCCCGCCCTCCTTGTGGAACCGGAGCCTCGGCTGAGGGGCGAATGTGAGCTGACATGAGTGCATATGCATCTTCTGCTCTGTGATGCATTAGGACTCGGCAGACCACCTTGTAGTTTTCCTTTGCATGTAGAGTTTTGCAATTCGTAACAATGCCAATATTTTGGCTCAAGTACCGAGCTTGTGCCTTTGAGCACGGTAGAGTCGTACAGTAGCTCCTAGGTTGCTGTGCGGTCCGACCGGACGCACTCAGGCGTAGCTGCACAAGTGCTTGGACTCGCGAAGTCGTAAAACAGCGTGACCGGGCTGTGATTGCATTGGCTTAGTGCAAGTCCAGTGCTGGTCGACTTCACATATATTAGTATATTAGTATATTAGTATATTAGTATATTAGTATATTAGTATATTTGTATATTAGTATATTTGTATATTTGTATATTAGTATATTAGTATATTAATATATTGGTATATTAGTATATTAGTATATTAATACATTAGTATATTAGTACATTAGTGTATTCGTCGATTCGTATATTAGTATATTTGTATATCAGGGTATTAGTATATTAGTACATTAGTATCTTGCCTTGCTATATTGTTGTATGAATATATTAATACACTGTTATTATATGAATATATACTTGCATTGCTATATTTCTGTATTCTTATATTCATGTTGTTTTAATTTTTTGTATTGAAATATTTCCATATTTCTATAATAACGATGGTATCATGAGACTAGAATATTCGTATAGTATTACACTTTGATATTCTTCTATTTGAATATGAGAATGTGAGTAGTTTATTACGTAATGAATATGTTATGATCCTCGCTTTTTGATTCCTATTAGAAATATTATAAATGTGCTCGATAATTCTATGATTCGATGATTCTCTTATTCTAATTGCCACCCTGCCACCCGACCAATACACCGACGGTCCGATGTTCCGCGTATCGATACATGGGCGTGAAGCCGTCCTCTCGTGAAGACCCTGCACACACCGCCAACAATAGAATCTCACAGGCCCGAAGCCAGACCAAACACAAAGTGCCTTAATCTCTCCCCCAAATACTCCCACAGAGTGGTGTACACGTGGCTGCCACCAGCCCGAAACCCCTGAACACTCAACCCTGTGAACCCCGCAACTCCTTCAAAACGCAAGCTCAACATCCGTACCAAGTAAAGCCCCACAACAACCAGCCCCAAAATGCCTAAAGCCCTAATCATCCCCAAACCTTGAACCGCTAAAACCTCCAAACCCAAGGACAACACAAGCCCTAAAACCCTAAGAGAAAGCAACCTAGTTAAACCCTCGACCCATTGAACCCCACACCTTCCAGAAAGAAAAAGCTAAAAACCTGGCCCTGACCTGAAACCCTAACCCTAGGATTGCCCTTAGACCCTCTGAAAATTAGTTCTAAACATGAACTTCATCAACCCCACGAAGCAAAAATATCAACCCACATCCCAAGGGGCCTACCTAGAAGCCCGCCCTCAGCACCTCCTGGCCGGAGGTCTCCAGCACTTCTAGAAGTTGCCTGTGCCACCCAGGGAGGCTTCTTCGGGTGCGTTTAGGGGTTCAGGGTTAAAGATTAGGGCTTCGTTGCTCTTTTGCGGGTGGTTTCAGGGTTTAGGGTTTGCGAGTGTTGGGTTTAGGCTGCATCAGGGCGCCCGAAAAAGAATGGAGGGCCATCCCCCCGGCTTTGTGAGGCGGAACAGGATATCCGAGCTCTCCAACGAGGTCAGGGCTGTACAGCTGTAGGGATCTTAGGATCTTGGCTAGGTTTACAAAGGACCCGGCCTTCCAAGAACCTAGGCTGAAAAAGGGGTGCCCTTTTTTGCTTAAAGGGGTTTACAAGGGAACCTACACCCCCCAAAAAGGGAATAAGGGTACTACTGGGCATCCTGGTATGCCAAAGCTCTAAACTCCCTGCGCCTAGGGAGGTTCGGCCACTTCTTGTCGTACTCGAAGAAGGTCAGCGCCTGGGCATCGGGGCGGGTCGCTTTGAGGAGGTCCCAGGTGACCCTCATGTGGAACGAACCTCATGTGATGTTGTTTGGACAGCCCGAATTCCAACAAGCCCCCCACAGAAGAAGCTTTGCAGAAGGTCCCCTGAGGATCCGACGTGGCCCTTACCGTAGGGCCCGCGAGCGGTTCGGCCTATCCGGTGGACGTAGTCCTAGGCGAACGAAAGGAGCTGCCACCCTCATGTGTCATGCCGCAGGCTCTTCTTACTACATACTACTTACTGCTTACTACTTACTACTTGCTCCTTACTACTTACTACTCACTACTTACTACTTACTACTTACTACTTACTACTTACTGCTTACTACTTACTACTTGCTCCTTACTACTTACTACTCACTACTTACTACTTACTGCTTACTACTTGCTACTTGCTACTTGCTACCTGCTACCTGCTACTTACTACGTGCTACCTACTACTTACTACTTACTACCCCCGCCCACGGGTGTGAAGGAGAAAACCAAGAGTCGAGACAGAATTCACACTGGCTGCTCGGGCCAGCTCTAAATCCCGAAACAGTGTAGGAAGCAAGGCACTGCCATCATCCCCGAACCAAGTAAGGCTTCGTCTGCCGTTGAAGGCGACAGCTTCGGGATCGAGGATTGCTTTTGGGGCCTGGGAACCTGAACCCTAAATCCGAACTACCAATTGCGAAAGAACCCCCCCCAAAAGCACAAAAATGATTCTTCCTCATAAGGGGTAATAGGGATTATTATCTGACATTTTTCGGGGGGGGGGGGGGGGGGGGGGTTCTTCAGCAAACAGGAGCTAAACTCCCTGAATCCTAAACCCATTAACAAGGATGTCCAAGACCCCTGCTTCGATGTCACCCATGTCGAAGATGACGACCTCAGGCAAGAGGGCCTTTTGCCCTGGACTTCTAGCTAAACTCTAGCCCTAAACCCGAAACCCGAAACCCGAAACCCGAAACCCGAAACCCGAAACCCGAAACCCTAAACCCTAAACCCTAAACCCTAAACCCTAAACCCTAAACCCTAAACCCTAGCCCTAAACCCTAAACCACATATGCCAAAAAAAAACGACATCGAGGCGGGGGCGTGGGAGATGCCCGGGATGTCAAGGCCCCGGCCTCGATCGAAGATTCGGGTTATGGAAGGGTCAGGGGGGGGGGGGGGGGGGGTTTAGGGTTTAAGGTTTAGGGTTGAGGGTTTAGGGTTTAGGGTTTGGGGTTTAGGGTTTAGGGTTTAGGGTTTAGGGTTTCGGGTCTAGGGTTTAGGGTTTCGGGCACCGAGGGTTTAGGGGTTAAGGGCTTGGGGGGTTTAGGGTCTAGGGCTTGGGGGTTTAGGGTTTAGGGCTCGGGGGGTTCAGGTTTGGGAGCCTTTGGGCTTTAGAACTCGGAGCTTTCGGGCCCTGGGGGATTGGGATGTTTAGACGTCTAGGGATCAAGGTCTCGAGCCCTGCCCAGGAAGCATGGGGCTGAGTTTTGGAGGTCCTTAAACCCTAAACCCTGAACCCTGAACCCTAAACCCTAAACCCTAAACCCTGAGCCCTGAGCCCTAAACCCTAAACCCTAAACCCTAAACCCTAAACCCTAAACCCACCTCGATGCTGAGGCTTTGAATGGCTGGGGCGCGTACCCATGACGTCTGTTGTCACCAGGAGCTTGACCTTTCCATTTCGAAAGTCCTTCGAGCCAGGGCTTCGGGTTTTTAGGGTTTAGGGTTTAGGGTTTAGGGTTTAGGGTTTAGGGTTTAGGGTTTAGGGTTTAGGGTTTAGGGTTTAGGGTTTAGGGTTTAGGGTTTAGGGTTTAGGGCTCAGGGTTTAGGGTTTAGGGTTTAGGGTTTAGGGTTTGAGTTTAGGGTTTAAGAGGCTCATGCCACAGCAGCACATACGCTAGAACACACACTCTGACAGTACAAAGGTAAGCTTGGGAACTCAACTTCAGGGCACAATCTAACCTGGGCGCATGTTTTCTCAGCAGACGTTGCTCACTTGGCGGGGGAATTCCGCTTCGGCTTGCATGTTTACGATTGTTCTTGTTCCAGGTCCGCGATGTATACCTGTATACAGCATACAAACGATGTCAAAATGGAAGCCCCCCTCCCCACCCCTCCCCCGCACCGCCAGAAACCCCACCTGGGCTGCTCGACCTGAAACGCCGGTCGTCGGTCCTCTAAGGTGTTCAGCCGCGACTCTTGCGACTTCCCACCATGCCTCAGCCACCACCGCAAAGTCAGGCTTTGTGACTTGAGCCCTTGAACTCTGCACCTGAAATCCAAACCATTTAAGAACCTCGCACCCGCATCCACCAACACCGTGTCTTCTCATGGCCCCATGGTGTGGCACGACACCCCCCGAACACTACCCCGCGAGCTTTGGACCTTGTTCCGTGGGCCCGCATCTTCCAAACTACGCCCTCAGGAGTACCACCGAAGCCTTTCCGCTCAAAACGCGAGACTCAGGGCTACGGGGGACTAGGGTAGACGGGGTGGAGGCTTTCAGAGGCTAGGATTCAGTTAAGGCTTCGACTTCAAGGGCCCAAAATATTGAGACACAGGCGCTTGGCAAGGCTTCAGGCTCGGAGCTGCATGCGGGTCCCAAACCCCTAAACCCTAATCCCTAAACCCGAAACCCGAAACCCGAAACCCGAAACCCGAAACCCGAAACCCGAAACCACCACAAATCCCTGCAACTTGAGGCGCGGACATGACATTGGCCTTGAAGCCCTCGCTCTGCAAACGCTTGGCGAGCGTGTCCGCCAGATCTGGGATCACATTCGGGTGGTTTGGGGTTCGGGCTTAGGGCGAAGAAGCCTGAAGATTCTTAACAAAAGCTCGGTGGCCGCCCTGCAGCCGCAAGCATGCCAAACCACGACCGAAGAAGCCAACTGTGCATGAGCGGAGGCACTTTTCCGGCTGACAAAGACGAGGATCTTGTGCTCGTCGCTGGCCTAAGGTTGGACACTGGTGTTGCAGTATGGGGGTGTACGAAAATCAGGGGGCCCCGAATTTTTTGACCCCCCAGATAGTAGGATTCCCTTGAAAAAGGACCCCAAAAAGGTACCCCTAGTTTCTGAAAGCCCCATATTGAAACCCTTGCTTCTCATGAAATCTCTACGGGGATGGGGGGTGGGGGTGCCACAACTATGCCCATTGCTGTCGCGGACAGTCGTGCTCGCTCGATGGCGTGGCCGTAGGTGTCGGGTTTGGGTGTTGAGGTTTTCGGGGTTGAGGGTTGAGGTTTTGGGCTTGCAGGGCTGTGCGTGTCGGACTTGGTTGGGTTTTGCTTGGGATATCGGTTTGGGCGCAAAGCTTTTGGCACGCCTTTCACCGCTGTAGAAGGCGTGGGGGGAGGAAGGGGGGAGGGGGGGGGGGCGGGGGGAGGGAGAGAGGAGGGGGAGAGAGGAGGGAGAGAGGGGGGAGAAGGGAGGGAGAGGGGAGGCGCAGGGAAGGCGCAGGGGAGATTGGGGGGGTAAGAAGGGGAATGAGAGAATATTGACAAAGGAAAATCGTCCTGCGCACTAGCCAATGGCTTTCCGTTGTGTTGCACGCCTGCCTTGTCATAGATATATCTATATCGGCAGCTCCTCCTCACTACGACGACCCCCTTCTGCACTCGGTCAGACTTGGACTACGACTACGGCGCACTATGGTGCTTCCTGAGTCTGACTGACGCGAACTTCAGTGCTGTCAGAGGGATGCAGCAGCAAATCGGTTTTGCGCGTTGTCGTCTTTTCGTGCTCTCTGAATTCCACCGTGTCCAAATGATGGTCGATGGCAAGCTCCCTCACCGCTTAAAACCCTATCTGGGAAGCAGGCGCGGGGTCCTCGGAGGAGATTTGCGCCCGGCGCCATGAGCGGAGTTTTGCTCTCCCTCTGTCTCACTTGCGCCGAACGATGCCAATCCAAGTGCATTTGTCAATCTTTCAAGCAGCTCGAAGCAACTTAGGATGTCCGGAAGGATCACGCTTCCGCGTCAGGATTCTCCAGGAGCTGAGAATCGTCATCCACAAAGACAAGGCCGTGGAGCTTGCCGCTTCCTTCCACACTACAAGGAACTCGCGCTGACGCGCTCGGCCACCTCGCCCAGGGTGTAAGCCCATCGGGGTGAGAAGGGCACCAAGCCATCAGCCTGTCGCTCTGAGAAATCCTTCTGTAGCAAGCAATTGCGGTCGTGCTTCCTGGCTGAGGAGCATCCGCAGCATTTGTAGCTCACCAGAGCTGTTTTCAGACACTCCTCACGCTGCGCTCAAAGCGCTTTTCGAATGCCTCCAGCCGCTTACGGTCCTTCTCATGGTCAGCTTCCAAAATCCTCTTCAGGTTACAGTCTGACTTATTTTTGCACGCTCGGGTTTCATGTCGTATCGTTTCTCGGTCCAACTTAGAATTGTCAACTTGAGCTCTTCGCGGGAAAGGTTCACGCAAGCCCTATAAGACTCTGACCAGGACCTCGCGCAGGTGGGCATAAAGCAGCTCCTGCATGAAAGTTTTGGAGCGTAGGGGCTTACAGTCTGGGGCTTACAGTCTGAGTCTGGGGCTTACTGTAGGGCTTCAGGCTTTTACTGCTGCAACCCCGAAGCATGACAAGATGCCCACTCTCCACACGAACTGTAGCAAAGGAGCATGGCCAGGGTAGCCTTTCCAATCGCCGTAAGCGGCCCGTCGTTTAGGGTCTGTCTGGGCTTAGTGTGACCTGGCACGACTTAAAGCAAAGCAGTGAGTGACTTGGTGAGGCAGGCCAACAAAGAAAAGTGCCAAATGATGGGGAAGAGGGAGAACCCAGAAAGCATGCAGGATGTGCGACAGTGTGACAGAAGCACTAACAAGCCCGGAAAAGAGAAGGCACCAAACCCGGCGAAGGGACATGACAGGATCAAACCCACCTGCCTCAAACCCCACATATCCTGCCAGCACAGACCCAAGACGGTGAAACCACGACACGGGCACATCGAGGGCGATCTCGAACACGGAATGCTCCATGGTTCATCGGCGAGCGTGATTTGTTGCGTGCTCGGCCAGGCCCGCGCCGATACGCGAGCGCGATTTGACCCAAAACGGGCGCTGAATTCCTGGAACCGGGCCCTGAGCTGCTCTTCGCACCTGAGGAAGCTGTCGCGCGCCTCTTCATCTTGAGCTTCTCAGCATCTGCGCCATAGTACAGCAGATCCGAAACCCTAAGCCCCAAACTCCTTTTGTCCCTCAACCCCTAACCCGGTCTCCTGCTTTGCCTGGTCTCGCTCCTCCCAGGTGGACCTCTGAGCTGTGCACGTTTGGGGTCTTGATGGTGCTAGAGCTCAGGGTTCAGAGGTTCGGCTCCTTTATTTGGTGAGCAGCCAGCAAGACAAAGATCATCAAGTTCAGTTCCGTTCCGGGGGCTCCGGGGTGGCAAATGGACCCTCGGTTTAGGGTTTCGGGTTTAGGGCTTGGGGTTTAGGGTTTAGGGTTTAGGGTTTAGGGTACGGGGGGCAACCGAAGGAGGACAGGGAACAAAGCAGTCAACCCCAACAGAAGCCCTTAATACCCCTGGAACAACCAACAACCGAACAACAAGACCCCAAACCAAGGGCACACTTTTTACGAAACCTTTGACCGCTTTGGTCATGGCTTGAGCCAAAGATTACCGGGTTCATTGACCCTTCAACTTCCAATACCAACTCCTTTCTACAATACCAATTGCAGCTCCGCACTCCCCCTGTCCTAGGATTTCCTAGGACACATTGGAGGTGCAGATCTTTGGCCAAAAACCGCCATTTAGGCAGCAGCCAGCTGCTTGAAATGCACATTATGGTTTAACGTCATCCAGGACGAACCTTCAGCTCATTGGCTGAATCCTTTACCATTGAGGATTTCTTCACCTCGCACTTGGAAAATTCACGTTCCAGCGGCCCGTTCCTCACCAAGGAACTCAGCATTCACCACCCAGCCATCCTTGAGGCAATGCTTACAAAGCGTTTTAGCCCTGGGCTGTGAATATCGCAGAACATCACAGTCACTGCTTGCGTGCATACAGTTCCCACCCACTGTTGTATACAAAGTGGCACTCGCAGGAATAACCACCGCTTTCTTGATCCACAGCCATTTATACAGCCGTCGAAAGAGGCACCATGCCAGTTCCCAGAGTATAATTGCTGCCACCAAATATGCAACAAGGTCTGAATTGTTGATAACCATTTCAATACCTTGAGCCAAAACCATCACCGTAGACGTGTTGGCGACCTTGCACACCCCTTCTTCTGAGCAAAAGAATCCAGCAGTTGACACTTCTTCGCCACCAGTTGCCATCCCTTGCAGAGATGCAGCCACCATCATGACCGCCATTGCAAGCGAGGCTTTTTTCAAGTCAGTCCCTTGTACCAACAGTCGGAGACCCCAAAGTGCCTTTTGCTTTGCGTACACCTGTCCACTCATCAACTTAGTCAACAGGTCAGCGATCATATACTCACCGCGAAGATGCGCTATCACCATATAACCACGGTCCACCAGAGACCTGACACCGGCTGCTCGAATTCTCAGGTGTCTTGTCCTCCAGCTTCCAGCAGGATATTGAATGATCGAGCACGTTGAAACCGAATCTGTATACAGCACTTTTTGCAGCGATTCTTCACCTGTTCCAACCAAAGCGGCAATTATAGGGGTGCACGACTGAATCATCGTTGCTCCCTCTATGGACGCATGTAATTCAGCTTCAGCTGTACTTAAAGCCACCGTTGATTGTCTTTGTGTTGCCCACATCACTGGACAGTCACCCCACACCACCACCGCTCCTGAGTGGCTCTTTTCGTTTTCACCTGCTGCAAAGCTGGCATCCGCGTAGGACTCCACCACCTTAACGCCTCGTCCATAACGCAACACCTCATTTCTTTCTTTTTCGCATGTTGCGATTGCTCCGAACGTCAAGCCTAACGTTGGAGTTGCAGCAAGGTATCGGAAAACCTCCTCAGCCTTTTTAACCACAAATCGCGGCCTTCGGGATGTCCACAAAGACAACTGGCTCGTGCAGAACGCCAAATCAGGTCGAGTTTTGATTGCCACCCAGAGGAACTCCCCTACGGCACCTTGAGCCGCTCGCAAGGAAGGAATATCCACCTCCTCTTCTTCACCTGGAGTTTCTTTCACCATTGGCAGGTTACTCCCTTTTCCAGTTTCATCGATCTGATACCCTCGTCGGTTCAGCAAATCTCTCACAAAGTCCTCCTGGTTGAGAAAGAAGCTGCCATTTCGATACCAGATTTGGACACCTAAAAACTTCAGGAATCCATCACCGCAGCCTGGACCACAGAACTCGGGTTCAGAAGTTTTCCACTCCTTCCTAATCTGTTCCAAGGCCTCCCGGAGCACTGTCATAGTCCCAGCCATCAAAAAATCATCCACGTAAAGACCCATTGTCCCTACCAACTTGCTTGCACCTTCCAGCTTCTCTTGCGCCATAATAAGGAACAGACTTGGGTCTGCATTGGACCTCTGAAAGCTCATTGCTTGTCCATCCTTTGACACCCAAGACATCCCTTGAAGACGTTGGTCTCGCCACTCCACCCATGCTGCAGGACTTTCGGCCAAACCGTACAAGGCCTTCCTCGCAATCCACCGCTCCTCCTTTGTGCAAAGACCCAATTTCACCGCCGCCCTTGGGGGCTGCACCACCACCAGACGCCCTTCTCTTTGCGCCCTATTCATCGGCGCCGTCAGAAAAGCTTTGGAAATGTCTAAGCCAGCGATGATCCACACCATATATGCTGCGTGCCTCACTTGACACCTGAATGTAGTTGAATCTAAACCTGGAGCGTACAGCGAGTGACGACTGAGTGACCTCGGCCCTTCATATTCTGTAGCTGCCATTGACGAAATGAAGTTTCCACATGCACAGATACGGGCACGTCGCCTCCCTGTCCCTTGCTTCCGGGTAAACACCACCAGACTGGGAACGTACTCAATCACCGGTGCATTAGGCTCCTCCGCCAATTTGTCCAGCTTTTCCTGAGTTGTTGGTTCCACCACCTCCAACTCTTTCACCAAAGACGTCACCTCGTCCGACAATGATTCCCTCCACTTTTCCAGCTCTTGCATGGCTTCTTGTGTAGGGATTGTTTTTGTTTGCAGGAACTCAACCTCCTCTGCTGCCTCAAGCGCGGTATTTTCTTGTACCATTTGCTGAAC